TGGAGCCCTGCTGTCTACCTTGATCCTCATGGCACCAAGATGAAGGAGTGACGGGAAGGACAAGAAGGGCGTGCAGGGTCACACACACTGATGTGCAGAGCCATGCACCAGCCTGGAAACTACCCTGCATGTTCTGGGGACATCTCTGGGAGTGTCGAGCTGAGGCCCAGAGACCAGCGAGGGGGCTCTGCTCTCCCTGTCTCCTTGCCTGGGCCCTGTCTCATACCCCAAAGGCTGAATTTCTGCACAAGACTCCTGTGTCCATGAAGCCCTTCCATGGCTGGTGCCCGATTCGTCCCCCAGTCTGCAGGGACTTGGCTGCTGCAACTCAGCCACTTCTTCAGACCTTACCCGTCCATGCAGAGCCTCTGGGCAAGAACAATGTACAGGCAGTTGCCAGCACAGGCCCCCTGGGAGCCACCTGCATGGCCCAGCTCTGCACCTCCTCGCCTGCCCATGTGAGGCTCACCAGCCCTTACCCCTCTGGCCAGCTGTTGCTGTTGGCATTGTTGATGTTGGTGTTGCCTTCTTGAGGGAAGTCATCGAGGAAGACAGGGGAGTCGAGGTCCTCGCTGCCCACCTCTGTGAACTGCAGGGGCCTCTGGCTGGCCACATGGGGCTGCAGGGGGCTGCTGGGCTCCAGGAAGCTGTCGACCTGGCCAAACAAGCCACCTGTCCTCTGCAACCAACAGGGAGGGCATCAGAGGAGGCCTGGCACTCTGGGGCCATTCCCACAGCAGGAAATGTGTGCAGGTGCCCATGGGAACAGCAGTCTCTCTGCTCGTCCCTCCTCTCAGGCGTTGCAGACCACTCGGTTTCAAAAGCCTCACTGCCCAGGTGCGGAAACTGAGGAGTGGTCATGCAGCAGCACCGGGATGAGAGCCAGCCCTGGGCATGACAAATCCTGCCACCTCTGTGGAACAGCCTGAGCCAGCAGCACCCCTGGACACAGCAGGAGGTGCAACCCTGCAACACCACAGCTGCCCAGGCTCTCAGACTCCCAAGAAGGGAGTGAGAAGTCAAACAGTTCCTGCTCCAGTGATGATGACACCTGAGCTGTCCTGCCTTAGCCTGGCAGAAGGTGTGAATGGGGCCTTCCAAACCTGTGGCTAAATGTTCAGCACATCCCTGCCAGGCACATGAGCAGGGTCCTTTTACAGCAAGGAAACTGAGGCAGAGAGCAGGTTGCCCAGGATGACTCAACAAGGATGTCTTGATGCTCAAGGAGAGGAAAGAAGCGCGGATCCATCCTTGTGGTCCACACTGTCTTGCATGGTCAGGCTGACCTCTGCAGACTGTCCTCCAGCTGCTGGTAGCCATGCTGACCTACCACCACCACATAAAAATGGGGGCTGGGTGGGACCACCACCACCTGGGGTGCCCTGAGCACTGCACTCACCCTGTATATCCCTTCCTCCATGGCAGCCTCCACCATCGCTCTTTCCAGCTCCTCCTCAGCAGTCAGGTCCCCAGAGATGGCTCGATGGATTTCAGGAGCAGATTCTTCTTCAATGCTCCTTAGCCCAGCCTGGTGGGGACAAGAAGGCATGGCTGGATGTGGCCTGGCCTGACCACCCATCTCACATTGGGCTTTGGAGAGGGAAACATGATGCAGCATGCTCTGGTAAGCCACGCTGCCCTGCCAGGGACGGGCCATGGGCCACCCTGCAGCTGCCTGGCTCTGTGCTTGGTGAAAGAGCTTCTGGGCTAATGCTGTCCCACAAAAGGGTACACTGAGGGCAGCCTGATGAAGGGTCAGGCTGGCAATGCCCAAGGGGCAGCTGTGTCTTTGTCCCTGATCTGGAGGCATCTGACCAGGGGCCTGGCTCTGTTCCTTGCCTTGCACCTTTGAGGCCCCGTCTTTTATCTGTACAAGTGGTTTCCACCCCGTGAGGCCAGGAGAGGCTGGGGACATCCTAGCTGCTCTGGCCAGGCATGTAAATCCCCTCTCATTCGGCCCTGGCAGAATCCTTCAGGGCTGCTGTGCAGGCTCCTCCAACTGCAGTGGTCCTGCTCAGGATCAGCCACATCAACCCCTCTCCACCTGACGCTGCATTAGGCAATGAGATGACACCGAGAGCACCAGGCACACAGAACTACCCACCACACTGCTCAGGCGAGCAAAAGGGGAGGAGTAGGCAGATAAGGGCCTGGATGAGCAGCATTTGGCCCAGACATTGGTCTGTGGTGGGGGTTTCCAGGTCGGTGAAGCATCAGAACCTGCTGAGCCCTCTCTGTGGCCAAAGTCAGTGGGACAGAGATCAAAAGTCTCCTTGGCTTCCAGAGCCACCTGCCCCCTGGAGACTACGGTCACTCTCAGCAGTGGAATGCTCATGGCCAGTTCAGTGCTGGCTCACAGGGGCCACCTCCTTTCCAGAGCCTGAGACACGGCAGTCACTATGTGTCATTGCAGCTCTGTCTCTTAAGTCACCCAGGATTTTCCTGAGCTGGGGGAAGCTTCTTCTGTGGTCTGCAGAGCTCCCCACCATGCCCTGCCTGCCCCCAGCAAGGGTCACCCCTTCAATACCACCCACACACTACCAACCTGGATCTCCACAGGGTTCTTCTTAGGCCGGTACCCATAATACTCCTCCTGGCGTTTCATGAACTTTCTGAAATGCTCTTGGATGAGGAAAGTGGCATAGAATTTGCCCACTGTCACCTCATCATCTGGAGGAGAGGAAACCAACCTGACAACACTGCCTATCACAAGGCCCCGAGTTGTTGGAGCAGCTGAGACCCTGAACAGGTGTCACTCTGCCCCTCTGGGAAGTACCACCAGGTTACATACAGACCTCCAATAGGTGGGATGACCTGGTCCAAAAGCTTCATACTTGTTCGCTTCCAGATTTTTTTGATAATGGCTCTGAGCTCCTCGTTGGCCTGCTCAAAGTTACCTGCGAGGAGAGCCAGCAGGACAGAGCGGTTTATTCCACGGATAACGTGAACATAAGTGAAGACAAAGCATGTGATAACCTGCCCAGACTCCTCCAGGGTCTGACAGCTCCTCTCCAGCCTTCCCACCCAGCAAAAATGAGCTTTGTAAGAATGAAGCTTTGATTTTAGCAAAAAGACTTTAACTATAAGTGAGTCAGACTCAGTAAACAGGTGGAGTCTGAGTGCTACCATCTCTGTTCTGGCAATCGACAACGGATTTTGACCTCCCCTTTGGCGCTCTCACAGGCTTTACCATTCCAGCTCGCTTGCAATCCCAGTCTGTCTCCATGCATGCTCTGAGATCTCCTGTGCTCCTCCCAGGACTGCCTGCACTGTGCTGGAGGTGATGCTCCCCACCCCAGCTGGAGGGAAGGCACCTGCCCCACGCTGCTGGAAGATGCCAGCCCCAGTGGCCCACCACTGCCCAGCCTCATCTCCTCCAGAGCTGGCTGCCCCAGCCCAGCCACAGGCTGTTTGTGTGATACTGCCTAAATCACAGGCATGGAAACACGCTGGTGTAGCATCTTTCCAAAGCAGGGCTTTGCAAACCATGCTGCTTGCAAGGAAGGCGGGAAAAGCAACTCCTCCCCAGCACAGCTACATTCAAAGAGGATCTGTTCCCTTCCATTCCAGCCTGAAATTATAAATACATGGAGAAGTGCAAAACTGGAGCAGCTGGTGCAGCTGGGAGCAGGGAGAGATCAGACCACATGTAGCCTGAGCAGCTCCATACATGTGCTCATGGTCTCTGGTCCAATGAGAGAATCAATGGCATGAAGCTGAGGGTTACATCAGAGGTTCTAGCCGCATAAGCAAGTACCCCAGCCAGAGTGGGGGAACGGTATGTAACCGCACCTTGCAGCACAAGGAGAGGGCCCTTCCATCAGGCCGTAGAGGCAGACAAAAGCACCACTTACCTTCTGTCTTGATCTTGAGGGCTGTCCTCACCAGTGCGAAGAGGGTTGCATTGAAGGTGACGGTGCCATCGCTGTTCAGGGGCATGTTCATACACACTAGACGCTGCATAGCAAACCAACAGCCATGACCTCAGGGCAGCAGAGCAGGCTGGCAGCTTCCCGCAAACAGCCAGCCTGTCCTAGCTGGAGGGCAGCTGTGCTGGCCAGGGGTGAGGCTCTGCTCGGCGCATCGAGCTGACAGCCAAGGAGTCCTCCCAGCTCTGCCTGCTTTGCTCAGGCCTGTGGGGCTCTGCAACACTGCTTGGCAGTGCATGGGCCAGGGGCAGAGACATCACTCATAACCAGTCAGCTAAACCAGACTAAGTGGCAGGGAGAGCCAGGTTAGATCTGCGGAAATAACCCAACCTATGGGGCACCAGTGCCATAGGAGAAGCCAGCAAGAGAGATATCATTGCTCTCAGGGAGATGGGAGTCATTCTGCGTTGCGCTCCACCCTCCAAAAAGTGCCTGAGGCTGCCATGAGGGATCAAACCTCCTAATGAGTTTGCCCAAGACCCACCAGGTTTACACCAGTACCTGAGCCCTCGCCCTTGTGGTTTTCACATGTGCCTCACACAGGCCCTGGATAATGAGCTACGTGTACTCACGCCTACAGAGCCAGTGCCTCCAGCTCCCTTAGCACCATCAGCCCTTGGAAACAAAATCCTACAGCCCAGTTGATAAGGCCATGTGCTTAAGCTCAGCACTGCCCTCCTGCACGAGATGCAGATGTGGGGCACCCCAATGTGGCTTGGGGTGAGCACAGGCAAGTCCTTATCTTCGGGACCCTGAAACCCATCAGCTCCATGCAGGTTGAAAGCACCTCTCCTTGTCCCTAGAATGTTTCTCTCCATTAAACACGAGAGGTTGGAACACACATATAAGCCGTGACACTAAGAAGTTAGCTGGATTGTCACCCTCAGCCTCCCTGAGGAGGATGCAGAAACAGCTTGAGGAAGGTGCCCCTGCACCCACGCATCCTGCCACCCTCTCAGCTCTTACCTTACAAGCTACACGGTGAGGGCAGAACTTCCCGAAGCCCAGGGGAGGCTGAATACGTCTCAGAAGAGTCACTACATCCAAGTGTTTGATCCTGCCCCTGTGGAGGCAATAAACTGCATCAGCAGTGTGGTGGCAGACACAGGGGACAGTGATTCAGGCAGGAGCTGGGTTGCTTCATCCTTGTGGCCCGCCTCATGCTTCTGGGGTGGGCAAATCCCTACATTTCCCTTTGCTCCTCCTGGAGAAAGCATTTGTTCCTTGTGGCGCTGGACAGCAGATAAAGGTGTGCAGTGGCATGGGAAGAGTTGGCAGCATCACCAGGGCTGGATGAAGAGGGGACTGGAAGTCTCATGTCTCCAAACACCCTGATGGCTTATATCAGCCCTGGAACATGCTGGCAAGTCCACATCCACCTCTGAAACACTGGGATCTAACTCTTAGATAGTGCCACAGCTTGCACTGTCGTGTGTGTCTCACAGCAGTGCATTGCAGGCTCCTCATGGACTATTCCCTCCGTGCCACTCCCCTCCTGTCACTCACTTGGCCTCAGGGTCGTACTCAGCCCAGATTCGTTTGAATTCATCCAGGTGGTGGGGCCCAAGGATGGACCAGTCACGTGTGAGGTAGTCAAAGTTGTCCATGATGACGGCCACAAAGAGGTTAATGATCTGAGGGCAGAGAAACTGGTGTGAAGGATGCCAGCTAGGGCAGGGCCAAGCACTCAGCATGTCCTTGGGCAGAGGGGACAGCGACAACCCTCATAGCTGGCAGCAATGGAGGAGGGCAGTGCTGCCCGCGACCCCAGCCAGGGCCATGGGAAAACGCAGGCAAATGTGTTCAGGAGAAGGGGCTTGGGCTCCCCTGGAGACAAGGGATGCTGTGTGTCACCCCATGCAGGGATGGGCCTCCCACCCAAGGAGATCATGTGAAAGGCTGCAGCAGGCACAGGGCAGCTCTTCCCTCTCCACCTGTGCAAGCGCCAGCACAGACACATCTGGATGGCAGCACGTGGGGGCTGTGGGAACTAACGGGGGATTCTGGGCCACCCAGCAGGGTAGTGCCACCTTTATAGCATGGTTAGGTAGATTGGCTGGAGGATGATGCCCCTAGGAAGAGGGTGCTGTGGGCTCAGCCTCATGAGATGCAAGGCTAACTCAACACCAGGGGCTGCCCAGGGCCAGGATGGAGATGTAAAAGGGAGCCCCATGGGAGCCAGCATACCAGGAAGGCGCAGAGCATGTAGAAGCTGATGAAGTAGAAGTAGGCGAAGCCCGTGCCGCAGGTGTACTCCTCGCCCTCAGCAAAGTCTGACTCAGGGTCGCACAGCTTGCCGTAGCTGCAGTCCAGCAGGATCTCCTGCCAGGCCTCACCAGTCGCACACCTGGGGAGAGGGGATGCCTGCTGGTCCCTGCCTGTCCTGGATATAAGCTGGGCACGCAGGGAGGGCTGTGGCCAACCCAGCGCACAGGGGAACAGGGAGCCACTGTGAAAGGAGCAGTCGGGATCCTGGACTTGCTATGCTGCTGTGAGGAGTCTGCTACTGAAAGCTCCAAAGTGAAGTGCTTGGAGTCAAGGAAAGCCTTGGGCTGAGCTCTTGCTTCCCCTGAGTTTCCTCACAATTCACAAATTAAAATCCAGTCTGGGAAAGAAACACTCAGAATAGAAACCCCAAAGTGCCCCTCTCTCCTGCAGCTTAGCCACACCAGGCAAACCAATAGCCACTTCTGAAATGCTTCCACTGCTGCAAGAGATTTTTCTGTAGGGCAAAAAAGAAATCAAGCACACAAATGCTGGTCTCACTCACTCCAAGCTGCTGGGCTCCCGTGCCAACTCTGAGCCCAGCTCGCTTCTGAAGCTGCTTGCTCACCAAGACAAGACTTACCTGAAGAGCAGCAGCACAGCTTGTGGAAAGGTTTGGAAGTTGTTGTTTCGGTTGATCTGGGTCCCATCCACCATGGCGATCTTCCCAAACATCTGTGAATCACACTGTCAGGTCCCCAGCACCCTTTCTCTGGCACTGACCACCCTCCAGAGCACCCCTGTCGCTGAGCAAATCTTCCTCTTGTTTACGTGGCTTTGGATGTCTCCAAAAGAGACTGAGACTGGAGTGTGGGTGCCCTGGGGCTCATGAGCTCCTTGGACATGCCAGCCTACGCTGAAAATGCCCCTGTCTATGCTGCACTTCATCTGGGCCAAGGAGACAGGGCCTTATGAACCAGCACTGGTGACTGTGTGTCTAGGTCATGCTGTTGACTCTCAAAGTGCTATTTGCTGCGTACCTCAGTTGCCCTGGCTGCAGCCTGGGAATGGGAGGAGGCTGCTGGGGCTGCAAGCATCCTTGGAGACCCGGGTAAAATGATGCCATCATGTGCAAAGTCCAGGGAGTGCCTGGCAGAGGACCTAGTCCCTCTCTGCCTCATCTCCCCAGACACTATCAGGCTCAGAGCACCTGTTCAAGACCAAATCCCACCCCTGTGCCTCTCACCTGCATCCCGATCACAGCATAGATGAAAAAAAGCATCACAATCAGCAGGGCTACGTAGGGCAGAGCCTGTGACAAAAAGACCATGGCTCACGTGAGACACCATCCCAGCACCAAGGCAATCCAAGGACAGGAGATTGGGTCTGGAGCTACTCTGTGAGGCCAGCATCCAGGCCTCAACGTGAGGAGGGGACAGCTTGCTTTTTGCCTGTTTCTCTAACCACCCTCCCACTCTGATATGTGATGGCGTAAGCCAGGGAGACCCCCCACATCTTGCCACCCATACAGGTAATGTTCTCCGACACAGCACAAGCCCCACATACAGTCTGATGCCAGCAGCCTGCCAGCACTGGAGCCTTCCTCTCTGCTTGGTGAGGACAGACTGCTCACCCAGCTAGCCTGAGAATCAGAGCTTGCTCCCAGCCCAGAGCACGTGCTTGTCTAGGAGGGGAGCACTGCTCTTCACATACCTGGAAGGACTTGATGAAGGTCCACAGGAGGGTCCTGACACCTTCGCCCCGGCTCAGCAGCTTCACCAGCCGCATCACCCGGAACAGTCGAAAGAAAGTGATGGAGACACGGGAGTTGTCATCGGAGTCCTGCAGGAAGAGCAGAACACTTGGAGGGCAGAGCTGCTGATGCCTCCAGGCAGACAGGGAAGGGTCCAGGTCCTGGGCTGGGAAAGGTAATGAGATTCCTCCTCCAGGCACCAGTCATGGTCCCCGTGGCCCTTGCCTGCACAGAGGACCAGACTGCAAAGGTGAGGTGCTGGCACCTTCCCTCCGGCTTTCCCAAGGAGTTCATCTCCTCAACCCCTTTGTCTCACATCTCTGCCCCCTAGGCTGCTCGAGACGCCTGGTTATGGGTATGAGATTGGTCCCGTTAGCTAGGGGGATGGGATACTGCAGGGAGAAAGGCATGCTGCAACGCAGGCTGGGAGAGCTGTGCTGCTCACTGCACACCAGGCAGGGCCACGTGAGGACAGGTTCAGATCCCTCCATGCTCTCACCCACCATGTACCATATGGGACCCACCTCAGGGCCTATTTGTAAGGTGAGCTGTAGGCCAGGCACCAGGCACATGAAGAGTTAACGATGGCTGTTTAAGCACAGAAAGGTTGGTGTGAGACCATCCCAGCAGGACTTTCATGAACCAAAGGAGAGACAAAAGGAAGGGTGGCTTTGGGTCAGTGCTGCCCAGTGTCACCCCTACCTGCAGTCACGTCTGCTTCCTCAGGTGGCTCTGGGACCTCCCTTGGAGGGGCAAACAGCCAAGTCCCAGGGCTGAGGACTCCAGAGTTCAGGGCAGAACAGGCAGGCAGCAGGGGAGCCAGCAGGCACAGCTCCTGAGCTCAAAGGGTCAGGTTTTGTCTGGGAGTACCTGGGACACTGGCGGTTGGAGATGCTGGTGGCTCAGTCACCTGCTCCTTTGACTGCACCAGGCACAGCCTCAGCCTCTGCCACCAGTAACCACAAACAGACCCTCCTGGCCTTCATCAGGCACTATCCGTGCCAACTCCATCACCGCTTGGGATGCCTTTCCCACTGCCCCCTCAGCCTTCCAGAGCTTTACTGCTGCCACTGGATCCCCCTCACTCCCTTCACCTAGCCCATCCACTCCCAGCTATTTCAGGGCAACAAAACCCAGTTGTGAACACCCCTCCCAGCAGCTCCATCTTCCCCACTGTGGCGCTTCTGCACTGCATCGGAAAACACTGTCTCCTGTCCCCACCCCTCTTTCTTTTGCCTTTTGCTGTCCTAGTGCCTAGTGCCACTGTGCAAGCACAGTGGTCGGGAACATCTCATCACCTCCAGTGCACGACATCCTCACCATCGGGACCGGGGCAGGGCCCAGCGAAGGCCAGCATGCCCTCCACAGTTCCCAGCACCAGGGCCCTAGGACCCCTGGGAAGAGGCTCCAGTGTGCGGGTCCTGCAGCCAGCCCCTCCCCATCTTCAGAGCTCCTACAGGAGTTCCTACGGGCACCCCGACCCCACTGCACCCCAATGGTGGTCTCAGCCACCAGCGCAGGGCTTGGCTGACTTAGCCCCTTGGCATGTCAGGTCAGCAGCCCTGGGACACAGTCAGCTCCCTGGGGGAAGGCATGGCACAAAAGTCACCCCTCTGACCATTTCTCCTGCGAACAGTGTCAGAGGCTGCATGCATGCAGGCAAATCCCTTCAGGCCTTAGACAGCACGATGGTCAGAGGAACCAAGGCCAACTGTCCTGCCCTCACCAGCCAGGGACATCTTTGCTACATGCTCCGTTCAGGTCAGATATCACGGTGCTGGAGGGTGGGATGGTGGAGAGCAGGGCTGGGCCCCAGATGGACTCAGGAGCACTGGGGAACAGTCTAACACATCTCAGGGTGGGAAGGGGTGTCTGTGTGGGGGTGTTTTGCCTCAAGTCCCTCTCAGCAAGGGGAGAGCTACACCCCAGCAAGAGCAGCTGGGTCTGGTGTGTCTTAATGACATGCAGGACACATGCAAACAGCAGCCACAGGCACACTGGCATGGCCATCAGCAGAGAAGGGGAGAGGTGCGCACCACAAGCACATGCAGCTGATATTTACAATGCCATCACAGCCTCCGCTGAGGCAGTACAATCCGCCACTGGATGCAAGAACAGTCTGTCAAGAGAACAAGAGAATCAGCAGGAGAAGCACTGCAGGAACGAGAGGGAGGGATGGGTCGTTGCAGAAGAAGAAAACACAGACACAGAAGAAAGAATACGGTGGAAACTGGGGACAAGAGGAGCAGCACAGGGAAAGAACCGACAGAGACCCACTGTCACTTGGGCTTATGGACAGGCGAGGGGACTTCTGAGGGGAAGAGGCAGCAAGCGGATGGCCGGAGAAACACATCGATCATGAGAGACTTACCCACATCTGTGCCCCACTGCATCTCACCTGCTGTGACAGACACGTCTGGGGTAAGGGTGTATGGGCCAGGAGATCTAGGCCAAACCTCAGGACTGTGTAATTTGGCTGTCTTCCATGGACACCCCCAGGTCAGGCCCAGGGCTGTGACAGGTGGGATCTGGGGCAAGCTGACCAGCTCAAGCCAGACCACGGCTCCTCCACAGCAAGCCGGGCTGCTCTCAGCACGGCTGCTTGGGCACCAAGATGAAACTGGTGCAGGTTTGTTCGGAGCAAACAAACTCTCTCTTTGTTTGAGACTGGCAGTCCCGTGTGCCAGTAGAAGGCAAACCACCACCCGGCACTGTTCACCCACTGACCCAGAGGCAGGAACAGGTCTGCACGTACATCGGCACACACAGGACACAGGCACTCACACGCCGACGAGTGCTCACTCACACGCACATGTGCACACAGACCCTTCAAGCTCCTCCAAGCTAGCCAGAGACACTCCCCTCTCTGCAGAGAGCCTTGGACACTCAAGGGCAGGAAGACTCCTCCACAGTGCGGACACCAACACCTGGCCCTTGGTGCGACGGCCCCGGTGACCCCTGCACAGACCAGGCTTGTTCCTCGGGTCCAGCCAGCAACTGCAGGAGGCTTTGGGTAGGCTAGGGGATCAGCTCCTGCAAAGGGGCTGAGCTTGCATGGCAGGCACTGGCAAGAGTGACACAGTAGCATGGGCACTGCCTGCCCCTCACACTTCAGAGCTTGGTGTAGCACTGCCAGAGGTGCCTCCTTCCCTGCTTCCTTTTTGCTCCAGACCCCTCAATACCCTCTGAGACCTGAGGAAGCTCCATGACTGAACAGCCAAGAGGCCCCAGTTGTGGGGCTCGCAGAGGGCTCCTGGCAGCACAAGTCTCCCCATCGCCTCGCTCTGACAGCCACACACAGGACATGAGGGAAGAGAAAAGAGGCAGAATGGAAAGAAAAAGGAGTGGCATTGTGGCACACAGAGCACAGCACCTGGGTCACTCCCTGACAGCCCAGCCAGGGCACAGGACTTCTCCGGGTGCCTGCAGCCTGTTTCCCTGGGCATCTCCACAGACCCATGGCTGAGCACAGCACTACCTTGGCATCTGTGCCAACTGACTCGGTCTCTTGCTCCACAGGGACTGAAAACCTCTGTCCAGTGCAGGGCCTTCAGCACGCTTTGAACCTTTCTGAGTGACAACAGGATGGGGAAGGAGGTATTGCACTAGGAAATGACACCCTACAGGCAATGGGAAACCAGGGCACAGGTGCAGATTACTGGGGGGCCAAGGATGGAGTCCTGGAGGATCTGGTGACAGTTGAAAGCTGCTGGCACTGGCATGAAATCTGTGAGCTCATCAAGGCTGAGAAGCTCAGAGACTACAGGATGGCATTATCAACACACAGGGCTGTGCAGGGACAAGCATGTTGCTCTCACAGAGGAGGAAGGTGGATGGTTTTGCCCATCCCAGCTCTATGAGGCCTGGACCAGCCTCCAGAGAAGAAGGTGACTGCCACCAAGGGCTCCTGAACACCCTCTCCTCCCCAGCACACGGAACAGCTGAAGGTCACCCTGTGCAGGGGTGGCAGTGGCAGCAGCTGTGCCAGACACAGCTTTGCAGTGCACTGGAGCTGGCAAGCCCTGCTCCTGAGAGGAGACGGCATGCAAAGTCTTGAGAGAGGGTTAATTTATAATCTACCCGATCCTATAGCTTCTTCTAGAGTTACCATCAGATCTGCTAAATGCAGCACATGACCACCCGGTGCAGAGGGGCATTTTCAGTGCTAGACAAGGGCTATGGATGTCCCAGTGCTATGAAAGGCAGTGGTGTGCTGGTTTCCTAGCACTGCTCTGAAAATGCTCCCAGCAGAGCGCTTACCATATAGCCACTGCCCCCAGTCACTCAGCCACGCAGTGTATATGGTGTAGAGCTTCTGAAATAGTGTTTAGAGTATACACATGCACACATATACAGTCAGTATATGTATATGTATAGATCGCTGCATAAAGGGACACACACAAAGCAAATGTCTTGGAATTTGATGCGTCTGATCCTTCCCTGGCATGGGACAGCAGCATCCTGTGGGTCCAGGAGCTGTGAGAACTCTTTTTCTTCCCACCTGCACTGGTCTGAGGCTGGACACGTGGATGACTGCCTGTCCAGCTATGTGCATGGGGAAGACAGGCAAGGTGAGTGGGGCAGTGGCTGGCATGTGTCCTGCTGCTCACAGTCCAGTCCTGAGTGAGTAGACTGTTTTCCATAGGATCCCAGTGCCTACAGATTCAGGGGAAGGGAGGGGGCAGTGTGACATGTTGGCCAGCTGGGGATGGTCCCCTATGTTTAAACAGTGCTTTAAGGTCCATGGCTGTGATCTCCACACACTCATGCCACAGGATGATCCTGGCTTGTCCCTCCTCAAAACCAAGAAGAGCAGGGAGAGAGGAGAGGACACCAATGCTCTGCAGAGCTGGACACCTCACCAGCATCCCTGTCTCGCCCTAGGCACAGCCTCAGGCAGGTGCCAGCAGCGGCGCTTTGCAGGGACACCCTCCTGCCCAAGCAGCCTGACACTTACATCAATCTCACTGAGGATGACATCAATGATGCTGCCAATCACTATAAGGAAGTCGAAGACGTTCCAGGGGTCCCCAAAGTAGCCCTGCCAAAGAAGAGCCAGAGAAGAGGAGTGAACATCCAAGGGTTAAGTCAAGGAGGAGACAGATGCTTGAGCCCAGAGGAAAGAGAGCCAGAATGATCACCAGTGACCTCTGGCACTCCACGGAGAGCCAGAAGAAGCGATCGAGGTCAGACCTTGTACCCACTGGTCAATTTTCTGGTCCTGTCTTGCAATGGTGTGAAATAAGGAAGGTGGATCAAGGTGGCTAGAGCTATGACCCCACCAAGCGACAGATGACCCTGAAGATGGGAACAACAGCAGCTGGACTGGGTTGGATTTGGCTATCAAGGTAGCCCTGACTAGGAGTAGTCCTTCCAGACACTCACAGGTCCTGTGCATGGGGGTCCCCAAGGATCTCACAAGGAGAAGTTCTCTGGAATTGCAGGCCTGAGGGTGCTTGTACTCAAGAGATGCCAAATGGAGGGTAAATGGACTCTCTTGGCCTGACCTGAGGCACTCTCCTGCTCTCCCGACCATGCCCTCCTCTCACCTTGACTTTAAAGGCCATGAGCTTGAGAATCATCTCCAGGGTGAAAAGGATGGTGAAGGCCACGTTGAGGATGTCTGAGATGTGGTTCATTTCTGCAGACTGGTTGTAATGCTGAGGAGAAGGCAGAAAGAGCCACGTTAGCCCACAGCAGGTCCAGCCTCTGTTGTGAGCTCAGAGGTGTATGCTGAATGCAGATCCCCCTCCCACAGACCTATGGCTCAGCAATGGTCAGCACAAAAGAAATTTCCCCCTGCAGCCCTTTCTCTGGGCTCCCCACATCCAACTAGTCACACTTTACCCCTACCCCAGGAGCGCTGAGCACACACCACAAGCTTTGCTGTGCAGGAAAGACCTCCTCCCCAGAAGTTCTCTTGGAGATGGCAGGGCTGAGCTACCCGCCTGCTGCCACAGACACCCCTCCACCACCCGTGGGCACTGTGCCCCTTACCTGCATGCCCAGGCAGATGGTGTTCAGCATGATCAGGAAGAACATGAGGTACTCAAAGTAGGAGGAGGTGACCACATACCAGATCTGGTACTGATAGGGGTTCTTGGGGATGTAGCGCCGCAGAGGACGAGCCTTCAGCGCATACTGCACGCACTGGCGCTGGGGAAGGGAGGGTAGGTGTGATCCCGGAGTGGGGCACAGGCACAGAGTCATCACCATCAGCAACAGTGCACGTCCCCACAGACACAAGCTGGATCTCAGCCCAGTCTCTGGGCCAGGGACAGCGGTGCTGAAGTATCTGCTGTGCTTTCTGCAAATACACCCCCAGAGCACTCACAAGGAGACTGCATTTCCAAAGCCACTGCTTGCCTCCGAAGGTTGCCACGCTGTCCTTGTACCATCCCTTCCAGTCCTGAGCCTGCCTGGTTATCACAGCACTTTTCCAGGGTCTCTCAGGACACACCAAGAGCAGCCTGAGGACATCACATGAACCAGGGGTGAAGGGGGCACTGAGTCTTCTCTCTGCACCTGAGAGCTGCTGAGCAGGCCCCTCCCTGACCAACAGGCCAGGACCATCTTTGCTGGGTTCACACGCAGCTCACGTCAGCCCAGCACCCTCAGCTCAAGGTGTCCGTGCTGTCTCTGCAGGCTTGCTCAGCACAGGAGCATGCCAGCACCTTCTCCGGGCCACCAAGCATCTCTGTCTAGCTGTCCTCCCCAGCGCATGCCACATGCCCTGCTGATGCCGGTCTGGCTTCCGCTGCTTTAAACTGTGATGTCCCCAACAAGAATCACAGCATGACAGCATCAACATAAGGGCTGATAGTAGAAGGTGTCTCTGGAGATAGTCCAGTCAAAGCTCCCTGCTCAAAGCAGGGGCAGCTAGCCCAGGACTCTGTACTATTAGGTGTTTATACACATAAGTAAGATCCCTATGAGCCTTCTGTTTTCAACACCAGACAGACTCAGCTCTCAGCCTCTCCTTAAATGACAGACGCTCCAGACCCTCAATCATCTCAGTGGCCCTTTGCCGGACTCACTCCAGTACATCCATGTCCTTTTTGTACTGGGGAGCTCAGAATTGGGCACTACCCTCTGCTCCTACCTGCATCGGAGGGCCCACCCCCAGGTCCCAGTCCACTCTGCCCCTCCCTTGGAAGGCTTGCATTGTGCCACGAAGGGATTCAGCTGACCCTGCCCCAGCAGCGAACAGATCCAGGGCAGGTGCAACTCATCGGCACCAGCAGTGCCATGGTAAGGGCGATTCAAATCAGCCAGCCCCAGCAGTGCCAGATCCAGGGCTGGTCCACCTTGCCCTGTCCCGGCAGTCCCATTACCTGGTTCTTGTCCAGCTCACAGTTCTTGTACTCGCTCTCCCCCTGCTCCTGGAAGGTGACAATGACAAAGCCCACAAAGATATTCATCATGAAGAAGGCAATGAGGATGATGTAGATGATGAAGAACATTGCAATCTCCACCCGGTAGTTGTAGATAGGGCCTGTATCCTCAGCATTAGTGTCAATGGCCATGTATAGCAGCCTACAGGACGGAAAGAAAGGCAGCAGAGATTCTGATTAGGTGGGAAAGACCATATCTCCTCTTGAATGTGATGGAGAGCTCTGGGGACATTCCGAATCCAACAATGGTGGGACAGGGCTGCTGGGATGACCTTGTCAGCTCCACAGCCACTGCCAGGATGGCTAGCCCAGCTCCTCAGCCTGGGAAGCTCTTCTTTCTTTACCACGGTAAAGGCCCACAGCAGTGACCTGCTCCCAGCACAGACCCATCCCTCAGCAGGCCCCACACACTGCCAAGACTCACTCTGGCCAGCCCTCGAAGGTGGAGACAGTGAAAAGTGACATCATGGCTGAGAAGACATTGTCGAAGTGGAAGTTGCTGTGCAACCAGACACGCTCCTGTAGCTCAATCTGCGTGGGATCCCCATCCACGTAGTTGACAAAAGAACCCCTGCAGAAGAGATGAGGTGCTCACAGGCAGGGCCCCCTTCAGCCCACCCGCTGCAGTGCTGGCCCAGGGCTCTTCAGTGCCTGGGAGGGGAGGACAGCCTTGTGATTGTTTCTGATTCACCCCAGGGTGAAGGAGAAGACCACCAGCCCTCAGCTCCACATTTTGGATGCAACATCTCCATGCAGTAACACAAGCAGCCCCTGCCACATACACCCCTCCCATCCCTGGCCACTGCCCTTCTGGGGCTGAGCTGCAGAGAGCGCTTACCTGCACTCCTTCTCCGTCATCTTGGATGGATCTGTGCATCTATAGAACTTGCCCTGCATTTAAGAGAGATCAGAACAGGCTATGATTTTGCTGTGACTTCAGAAGCCCTGGGGAGTTTTGACTTTCTCACATCCCACAGTCAGTCTCCACCCTGCCTCTCCGCTGACTCTAGCCCCTGCCTCACACCACCACTGGCTTCCTCACTCTGCATGCCAAGACAACCCAGTCCACAGGGTGTTTGAGAAGCCATGGCAGACCCTGGGGTCACTCTCAGGCTGAGACAAGTAAATGTTGCCTAGTGATGAGAACAAATCTTTCAGGGCCCTGCGCTGCGACCTATCTAGCTCATCCTATCTGGGAGTCAACTATCTGGAAAATAGGGAAGAAAGCAGTAACCACAGAATTAACTAAAAGTTAAGGTATGCTGACAGGTCTGCTCCGTCTGCAGGATGTCCTGAAAGCTCTCCCCATGTTGGCTGGGAGTTTAAGCTCAATTATTAGAACAAAGCTGAACTCAGTCTGGGCCAGCTCTGCCTTGGAGAAGCCAAGGTCCAGAGAGCAAGACTGGTGTTGTGAAAAAGGAAACACTTTGCATCCAAAGCACAGAGGAAGTCAGAAGCTCTTGCTGCCTTAGAAAAGGGACACTGAGGCACTAAGTGAGGCGAGGCAGCTGGTCCCTTTACATGTGCTGTCTAGACCTGACAGTATCCTGGGTGTTTCCTGCCATCCTCCCGCTGCAGGCTCTTCTGCTGGGAGGTCTGGTGCAGGCAGGTCTTCTTGCAGAGCACAGAGTACAGCCTGTGCTGACCTCAACACTGGGAGACACCATCCCCAAGGACTATGAACAGAAGAGGCCGTTCAGGCTATGCCTGAGCACAACACTTCTTCTGCCCATCCGAGACACCTCTCACCTTGAAGAGCTGGACCCCGATGCAGGCAAACATGAACTGCAGCAATGTTGTCACGACCACAATGTTACCGATAGTCTTGATGGCCACGAACACGCACTGGACCACATGCTGTGGAGGTTGAGGACAGCACACACGTGAGCATGCCTGGGGCAAGCCCCTGCTGTGTGTCCCACACCCTCTCACCGCAGGGATGGGCCCCAGCAGGAGCAGGAGCCTGCCAAGAGCAATGGGATGGGGCAGTTCCCTCCCACAGATGGGGAATGGGAACAGGGTTCCTGGTCCTGAAAACCACACAGGGCATGGTGCCTACCACATAACCTCCTCTGAGGACTCCTGTGGGCTGAGGAACCCCAGCCCCAGTCTCCCTCTTACCTTCAGCCCCTTTGCCCTGTTAATGGCTCGCAGAGGCCTCAGCACCCTCAGCACTCGAAGGATCTTCACCACTGAGATGGCACTGGACCTGAGGAGGAAGGCAGAGCTGAGATGGGGAAATCCCCCTGCCCAGGCCAGCCTGGCACAGCCCCATCAAGCAGCCATGGAGGCCAGGCTCGGACTGGGGGTGAAGGGCAAGGGATGGCAGAGACATGAGGATGTCACTAAGCCATCACCTCACATAAGGCCAAGGGACACTGGCAACTGGAGAAAGCAGTTTCAAACTGAATTCCTACCCAGATCTTCACCTTTGACACTCAAGGACTTTGCCTCCCTGCCTCCCAGTTCTCCATGCCCTGTCCTCCTAAGCATGACTTTATGGACACTAACACACAGGCTAATGCCCAGCTCTTGAGCTGGTTGCTCCTCCATCTAGCACAGCAAGCTGCAGCACCTCAGCTGCCCTGCCAGGCTAAACAGACCAGAGCCCACCCCGCAAAGCATGGAGGTGCTTACTCGATTCCTTTGGAGATGAGGGAGACGGCGACCACCAGCAAGTCGAGGATATTGAAAGAGTTCCTGCAGAAGGAGCCTTTGTGCAGGAAAGCACCATAGGCTGTCATCTGGGGAGCAGAAGGGGTTAGGAGAGAGGCCAGGCAGGGCTCAAGTGCATGGTCCCTCCACAGCCCTGAGGCGGACAAGGCACGAGGGGTTCCTCACAGCTACATGGCCTGGGGACCCTATCCTGCTCAGACCTCTACCTCTGCAGCCAGGCAGGAAGCTGACTTCAGCCGGAAATCCTCTGTACTGGCTGGAGACAAAACACTTCCCAGCCATTCAGCAAATTAAAGAGGAGAAGAATAAAGAGACTTGGAGTGAGAGCAACTTGCAGCAGCTCTTACTGTTCTACTCCACAGATTTCCATTTCTTTCTCAAAGTTTTTCTTAAGGGCATGTCAGAACGAAAATGCTGGTGCCATCGCCCATCTGTCCCTGTGTGACAGCACAGCTGACTTGGCTGTCTGACCTCACTGGAGGGAACATGTGGCCTCTGGAGCAGGTCATGCACCGCCTAGACTGCATAAACTCTGGGGACATCAGGATCAGCCAGCAGCTTCTCCTCACTGGGACCTCGAGCTTGTGCCCAGAGACCATGAGTACCCATGGCCAGAACAGTCTAGACCAGTGTGCTGGTTCATGTGCACGGCCAAGACTGCGGGGCAGAGGGACTCACCTTCAAAGCGATTTCGACTGTGAAGACGGAGGTGAAACCAATGTCAAAGTATCCAAGAATCTGGGGACAGAAGCACCAGAATTGGATGAGATTTGGGTAACATGGAAAATGCTCCAGCATGTTCAAACATGCCGGCATTGTGGTTTTGCCCTCCACTCTGTGAACTGGGGAGCCCATCTAGCTCAACACAGCCTGCAAACCCAGTGCCAAGAAGACTCCTGAACTTCTCTCAGCTTTGCTGATTTTCCCCCGTGCATGATCCAACCTGCAGCCTGGGACCAAGCTCTCAGTATCCAAGTGAGTGAGGCTTGATCTGATTCACCTGAAAGCATCTTATCCCCAAAAGCACTGAGTGCCCTGGGAAGCTATTTCACGTGAGACCCCCCAGTCCCTGCCAGACACTGCAAGGGTGCAGACCCATTTGTGCTCGTGTGGCTAGACCTGTGGCTACCACTGCTCCATGTCAGCAGCATTTCAGGGTGCTGCACCTGGAGGTGGTCCAGTTTGCCACCTCACAGGATGTCCCTATCCCCAATAAGCCACCACAGTCTTGAACCAAGGTAATCTCACACATCTTGTCAGATGGATCTCTTCACCCAGAAGTAAACTCAGACATGGAGCCATAAAAACTTGTCCCAGCTGTGCCCTGAACGAAAAACACAACCAGCCTCTCCTCCCAGAGGATATCGTCCTCCCAGAGGCAGGGATGAAATCACAGCTACCTGCCTAGGCATGACATCTGGCAAGCAGGTCTTTGCTTACTAGGGTGCTGGGAGTATCCATGAGTTCTCCTCCACCCATCCCAACCCTCTACAGCTACATGAGCACCTGGTTGCGGAAGGACTCAGCCCGGATGGGATCCTCAGCTGCCAGCGATATGCTGCTGAGCAGAATGAAGAGCAGGATGAAGTTGGTGAACCAGGTGGCATTGACGATTCTGTGGCACAGCATTCGAAACCTGCCAAGGACAGAAACGGCATGTGATGCTGTGACAGGCCAGAGGGACACTACAGAGGGCCATGGTAGCCTGGAAGAGGGTTATGGCTAAATGTGGAGAACAGCAAGGCCCTAGGCATGAAAGGATGTCTGTGCCAGCCCTTCCACAGAGAAGACTTTTCTCTGTAAGCTGACTCCCTTCAGAGCTGGCTGTTACATACAAGTAGGACCCCATTGGGAAGGGCTGGTGCCAGAGGTACCTGGGCGAGGCCTGGGTCCACAAGGGCACGGAGAAGGATCAGCACCTACTTGTTGGTTGGGCTGAAGATGAAGAAGGAGCTGGCTTCAGGCATGGGCACGGCCTTTTCTTTCAGCTGTAGCTCTGCAAGGGGGCGTGGCCGAGGACTCAGGGGAATTTCAGGCTCATCTTCCTCATCATCACCTGCAGAGTGCCCATGAGGAGGGAAAAGGGAAGAATCACCCA